GGGGGGCATATCCCCCCCGTCACACCAGACGATCTGGAAGCAATTGAGCGAGCCTATCACCCGGCAGGGCTGGTGAACTCAAACCCGCAAGCGTTGCTGGTTCCGATAGGCCGCGCAGCGGTGAGGCTTGGCGGCATGCCTGCCTTGCTGGCTGCGATGCGGTCCTACACCAAGGCCGTTCGTGACGAGGACAGCAAGCCGGTTGGCCTGCGCAAGTTTCTCGACCCCGCCGAGGGCTTCCTTGACCGGCACGCCAAGCCCGCAGCGGCGAGCGATGACGGCCACTGGCAGGCGCGGCTCGCACAATTCGCCAAGGACGGGTTCTGGTCGCGGAGCTGGGGCGCAAAACCCGGAAGCCCCGGATGCAAAGCCCCTGCCGACCTTATCCGCCAAACCCTGAAGGAGAGCGCATGAGCACGAAAGCCGGTCTGAACCTGAAATGGCCCCCCGCGTGATTGCTGACGCCCTGAAGTGCTTGGCGGAAGTTGAAGAGCTTTATGCGCCGCTGATTGAGGGTCATGGCTTGTCCAGTGAAATCGCGGTGAAGGCGGTGCTCTCGAAGATGGGCGAACGCGGCTGGATCAGGAAGCGCCGCCGTATGGATGGCGACCCTCTGTCGACCGATGAGGAGATTGAAGTGATCAAGAGTGATGGAGCGACAGCATGAAGGAATTTCTTATCAATTTTGTCCTGCATACGCTGGCGGGCGCTGTCCTGTTCGCAATCGTAGCGGCTGCGATATGGGGTTTCACCGCGCTGCTTGCTCACTTTGGCGCATGGGCAGTGCTGGCCATTCCGCCGGCGTGGGGTCTTTGGGCCGCAGTGGAGGAAGCCATATGAGCGATTCAGACGCATACAGACGCGCTAGCAGGGACGTGCATCGGTTCATGATGGTTGCGCTTTTTCACGTCTTAATGGCCATGGGCGCGGGGGTGATTGGGCTTATGGGCTATTGGCTTGGCGGGGCGGTCGGCGCGGTGGTGGGCTTCATTGCCGGAGCGGCGCTCCTCTGGGGGCCAATGGTCGCCACCCACGTTCTCGCCCGCAAATACGCAGCAGATGGAGCTGCGACATGAGTATTCCAGATTACGTAATCGTCGCCTTGGTTGTGGGCGTCCCTGCCGCCCTCCTCGTTATACCCATCTTGATCAGCGCATGGGGTGAAGAATGAGGAACGAAGCCGGACGCTTGCTGGTCACGGTGCGCGAAATGCTCGCCCCTGCCAGCGCCAATCCCAGCCCGCAACGCATGAAGTTGGACAAGGCCATGCGCGACCTTGAGCGGGCGATTTCGGAGCACGACCGGGCGCGGTCGCCATATGCGAAGGACTCCAACAATGGGTAAGGGCAGCCGACCGAAAAAGCACAAGGGCAAAAAGAGCGACGTTTTCGCCGTGCCAGATGCTCCGAAGGCACACGGCAACCGCCGCGCTTGCGTGCCTGTTGAGACCGGCCCGACCAAGGAGACGGCGGCTAAGGTCAACGTGATGCCGACATGCTACATTCAACGCGCTGTGAAGCTGGGTTTGCTGAGCGACGAGATGGGTCAGGGTGTCGAGGAGTACGGGATAATCCGTCACAAGGCGGGCATGTCGGGGAAGCGCTACAAGACCACGCTGGGGCAGTTTGAGCCGCAAAGCGTTGGCGGGCCAATTGACGAGGAGGCGAGGGCGCAGGCATTGGGGCGCTACATGGAGCTTACGCGCCACTTGACCGCCGCTGAGTTCTTTTCTTTAAGCACGCTCCTTGAGCAGTCGGAGCCACTAGATATTGACGCCACGCAGAGCGGAGCCCGAAAAATGCGCGACATATTGATTTTTGGTGTTGACCGGATGGCCAGAAGCGCGTAAGACTGCAATTCGTATTGAGGCGCTTTGCGCCTAGGCCCCGTCAGTTCACGCTGGCGGGGTTTTTCTCATTCGGGCAACGCGAGGCGGTTCTATGGCGCAACCCAAGCAGGCCGCTAGCGTGCAGGACGATATTGAGAACGCGCAGGCTCGTTCCATGGGATGCGCGGTCTGCGACAAGCCCGCGCAACGCCTTTCAAGCGCTGACAGCGCGGGAATGAAGATTCAGCGCCTTGAGTGCGCTTCCGGCCATGCGTTCACGCGTATCTGGCCCGTCCACTAATTCGGGCAACGCGAACACCATCAAGAGCCTTGAGCCTTAACCCTAGCGCGCTCTGCCCGATACTTCACATGAGGTCCGCCATGCGTGAAACCGAGAACGGCTTCATCGATGCGCTGCGCGAGCAATGCGCGGGCCTCTCGCCTGAAGACCTGCATTCTTCCGAGCTGCTGCGTGAATATGTCTGCAAGGGCCTGAGCGCGGCTGAAGAGGTGGGCGCTATCGCAGCGCGTGTCGAGATGGGCGGTGTTGTGGTTGAGGCGCAGTTCTACGTGGTGGAAGACGGAGGTCTGGATGAGGTTTAGTGGTA